AGTCTGGCAAGCACCCACACAGGCAGGAATGTGCACCCAAAGCAGGACACCCAGGGAAGGAAGGGCAGGGGCAGGCAGCAACCTCCTCCACACAGGGACACCAAGTCATGCACACCCACACAGGGTCACACCAGCGCACACAGTCTCACGCACCCTCAAATGCACAGCTGCACAAGCAGGCTCAACACAAACATATGTGCAATTTCTCACATGCACACACACATCCACATGGGCACACACACACACAGAGACACATGGAGTCTCACGCACACAGAGTCACACAAGTGCCCATGCAGTCACACACACACACACATGCAGAGGCATGGCCAGTCACATTTGCCAGGGTCACATGAGCACATATGCAGTCACACATGCACACAGCCACAGACATGGGCACCCCCCAAGCACACATACAGCCACACAAACCATTACACACCAAAATGATCCAACCAAACCCACCTTTGTGCTGGAAGCAGAAGCTGGGCAAGCCCTGTTCACCAGAGCTGTAGCTGTGGTCTCATGGGATGTGGTCTGTCCTACCCAGGTACAGAAGTGGACCCAAACATGAGACCGTTCATCAGCCCCTCAGTCCAAACCTGGCCAAAGCCACAAGCCTGCCTCATCCAGCTGGCCAGCCCACGCAAGCCTTCTGCAAGCAAGTTGTCTACCAGCCCCCAGAGCTCTCATGCAGGTGCTGGCCAGGGGCACTGGGCTGGTTTGCCCTGCTGATCTGGAGCAGAAAATGTTCCCATCCTGGGGCCACTTCAGCCAGCGACACAAACCACCCACCTCCTGTGAACAAGGCCTGCAGCCAAGCAAAGCGTCCCGGTCCCAGCCATGGTTGCAGCAAGGAGACAGTTCCTCCCAAGAGGAGGCAGGCTTAGTCTCTGTCCTGGCCAGACAGCATGGACAGGGCAGCTAACACAGCCTGAGGGTGAGAGCAGCATGGGCAGCATAGAGCGAGGTCGCCCTATGGGGCACCAGGCTGGGCGCAGGGCTTCGGCAGCGATCCTGCACAGTGGTGTGAGGTGAAGGAGATGGGGAAGGGTGGCTCTGCCAGCCAGCGCAGGATGGGCAGCACAGGAGGCAGCTGGGGGCCAAGGGCAAGGCCGTCCACATGCAGCCAGGGTGGACAACTGCCAGAAGATGATGGACAGAGGAGTCTAGAAGCCGTGCAATGCTCCTGCACACTCCTCAGCCATCACTCACCAAAGCATCAGCAAGAGAAAGGCCCTGCAGCTTGCACCTGGGGCCAGTCACTGTGCCCAGAGTCCCCAGGCCCTGCCTCGCCAGCTGGCTGGGCTGGTCACTCCCAGGCAGGGGCTGCAGGCACAGCTGGGGCGGGCAGATATCTGCATTTCGGCTGGGCTCATGGCACAGGGCAGGGCCAGTGTGTCATCCCCAGGGGTGGGGAAGGGAAGGATTTAAATTGAGCGCCTGCCCCAGCCACTTATCCTGGCGGAGAGGCGGCAGGAGGAGGAGGACCAGAGTCTGCCAGGGAGCCAACCACCAGCAGGTAGGACAGAGCCTGCCCAGAGTGGCACTGAGGCCACCAGGGACTCAGCACAGCCCAGCAGCGCTATGGCATGGCACTGTCTGTGCAGCTACCAGGGGCCTGCAGGGGATGCAGGAACCTTTCCTGCCAGTTTTACCCTAAAACCTAGTGTTAGGAAGGCAGCTGCTGAGGTCCAGGGGACTGTGGAGCAGGGGGTCTGCAGGCACAACTTTGTCATTTCTCAGATGGGCTGAGGTGACTGACAGACCAGCTCTGGGGCTGGATGGAGCCACTGCTCCATGAGGTGTGCTTTGTGTCCTGAAAACTTTAGCTGAGAAGATTAGGACATTGGCATATGGGAGGGAAGTAACTGGAGCTGTGGGATCTGCTGGAGCCTGCAGGCAGCCTGAGACAGGAGGCTGCTGATCTGCACAGTGGGTCTCAGCTCTGGAGCCTGGTGACAGGGAGCTGCAAGGCAGGCACCAAGCCACAGAGGGCTGTGCTGAAACGATTTCGCTCCCCGGGGCACAGGGCAGGGCTCAGGACCACAGCACCGCCAGGTCACCCCTGCTCACAGCCCAGCTGGAAAACCGCTTCCACTGCGGCCTTTCAGGCTGGGCTGCTGTGACAGCATGAAAGGACCTCAGCCAGCCCTGCCCTGGGAGCTGCGTGTGCTGCCAAGCCCCAGCATCAGGAGTCCTGATTAGAGACCAGCTAATGATAACCTGCAGTTGTGCAACGTCTTTCCAGCACAGGGTGTTGACACGACATGCGTGTCCTACATATGTGTCACCTGCTCCAGGGTGTAACGCAGCACTTTGCTTTGCTCTGGACATGAGTGCACCAGCTTAGATGGCACAATCACCCCATCGCCTCCGCAGGAGGCTTCAACTGCATCAGTGGAGACAGGTAGAGGAGGGAACAGAAACTGTTCTCCAGGGTTAAAGCCACAAGATGGACCAGAGCCACTGGCCAGAAAAGAGCCTGGAGCTGCCAGTGAGTCCAATGAGGCAGGGGCTGATCTGTAACTGCTGCACGCACCTCTCCCCACACAATGATCCATCTACACTAGCATCAGTCCAATATTTAAATGGATCAAAAGCAATGACTCAGAGACTTTTAGACCAGTTAGGTAAACAATCAGAAAATTAATCTGTAACCCTGTTAATTAATGAGTTAAACATATCATTAATGTCAGTCATTGTAGTTCTATGGGAGATGGGTGTTCCCAAAGAAATGTTTTGAGTTTTTGTTTTTGCTATTTTGACAAGATTGTGGGCTCATCACCATGAGATATTGTGGATGCTGAAGGTTTAAAAGGGTTCTAGAAGAGACTAGGTGACTGCATAGGAGAGACCCCTCCAGGATTACTAAATAGATGCAAAATGTGTCCAGCCCATGAAATCTACTGAGCTGAAAATAGTTGGAGGTTGACATAGAAACAGGGGAAATACTATGTATGTTTCCCTGTTCTTCATCCTTCCCCTGTTGTCCACTTACAGCTAAAGATGGAAACAAGACAGCGTGGCCTACCCAGACCTTTGGTCTGACTCTATATGGCTGCTCTCATGTCTGCTTGAGAGCATAGCTGATTTCCTCCAAAAGCATTTCAGACAGTAAAATTGTCATCTTGGCTAAGGGCGCTGCATTTTTATGGGCAAGGGCACTTGTTGGATTGACCAAAAACTGGCCGCACTAATTACAAAGTGCCAATGTAAATGTGAGAGACCAGCTGCAAGCAGCCACTCATAGCAAGGTCCCTGAGATACTTGCTCTTAGGCCATTGTTACTCTGTAGTTTCTAGAGATTTATATTTTCATCTATCATTTTAACTACACTAACAATTAGTTTAAAATGGAGAATGATCATTCACTACCTCCCACAGCATAGGCACTAGGAGCTCGCTGTGAAAATACTTTGCCCACAATGTGTGATTAAATCATGGGCCTTGCTGCCACGGGATGTTGTAGAGGCCAACACCAAAGCTGGGTTCACAGACATTACTGAACAGATCCTTGGAGGACAGTCTGTGGTGGCTGTTAAGACCACGGTCCAGAGGCAAACCCAGCCCAGGAAGTCCAGAGTGCCGCATGCCAGAGGGTTTGGCCAGAGGCAGGATCACTCTCTACCCATCCTGTTTCTAGAGCACTTTCCCTAAATATCTGCAGAGAGCACCGCAGCCCTGCAGCAGACAGTGCACCCAGCTGGACAAACACTCACATTGACCCTGCCCTTGTCCCCAGGCACTGGAACTGGTCAGAATGGTCCCTGGGATGGCTTTTGGCCTGGGCCAACCATCTATCTCCCAGAAAATCCCCATACACAGTTCAGATGTTAGTATGGGCCAGAGACGGACGCCAACGGGCCAGAGGAGGCAATCCCCTGTTTTGAAGGACAGGAGGGTGTAACAGAATGGGGATTGGGGGCTGTGCCAACCCAACAGCCTCCAGAGCAAGCAGAGACCCAGGCATATTTCATCTGCAGCAGAGGCACAGCCTTGAGAAGATCTCTGTCAGCTCTGATCCATTGCTGCAAGTGAATCTCATCTGCCATTAAGACAATTCCCATGGCCTGTCTCATGCCAGTGTGGTGTGGGATCACGTAGCACAGTGCTGTTTCCTGGCAAGATCTGCACTTGTCAAATGGCCACCAGTTAAGTCTGCTGACCCCAGAGCAGCACAGGAGCCAGTACTGAGGGGACAGGGAGACAAGCAGTGGCCAAGTTCCCTGCTGACAGCCTGTGGCACCAGCCCAAAAGCAAGCAGTGTGTTGTGTCATTCAGGAACACAAGAGGAAGATCTTGCAAGTCAGAGCTTCGAGGCAGTGTCAGCCCCTGGGAGACCAAGCAACTCCTTGAAGGGCTGCTCAGAGTGGGGCCAGATTATCCATGTTGTTGATGCTGATGCTTCTTTGTGGAGTAAATGTCTCTCACTAGACCTGTAATTCTGTGACATGGCCCTCAAATCTCTCTGCCTGCAAGTGCCTGTGAGGGGCTGGTTGATGCTGATCCCCTTGTCTGCTCCCCCTTCACAGCACAACCATCACTCTGTTCTCCTGCTCTGACAGCAGGAGCTTTTGGGGACAGGCACCAAGCCTTCCAGTCGTGACACTGCAGCTTTTCTGCGCAGAGAATATGTAGCTATGCAGAAACACGTAGAGCTGGCCTCTGCAGCTGGGAGGTGCGCAGCATGCCACACAGGGAGCAAACACACCTGCCAGGCTGTAACTGCTGCTTCCAAAAAGCCCCCATTTGCTGATCAAGTGGGGCTGGATATGGGGCACTCTTTGCCCTAAAATGCCTGCTGAGAGAGGTGGACAGCAGCAATGCCCCAGACCCCACTCCTGGCTTCTCTCTGAACTCCCGCTACCACATCTAGGGAGAAGCTTTTCTTCACACACACCATAAAAACTGCAGAAATACCTGTGTTTTACCACATCTTTTGTTTCTCTCTCCTCGCAGACAAGCACACTGCCCCCACAGTAACAGAAGCATTTCCCAGAGACAATGCAGAACATGAGTGGACACCCACAGAACAACAAGATAAACAACATGGGAAGCGACATGGTTGCAAGTGGACACAAGGAGATGGGTTGGGGCGGGAGTAACTTCATAGCTGGAGTCTTCATCCAGGCAATGAATAAGAAGATGAGCATCTATGATGCCATGATGAGGGCAATCCTGACGCCAGGCACGGCCCTGGTGCTGCTAGAAGCGCAGGCTGCTTCAGGGTTCCTCACCGACCCGGTGAGGAACAAGAAGTTGTCGGTGAAAGAGGCACTGACTGCTGGACTCATAGGCAGAGATTTTTACGAGAAACTCCTGTCGGCAGAGGGAGCCGTGACAGGGTACACGGAGCCGTATACAGGACACAAGATCTCCCTCTTCCAGGCTATGAAGAAAGAGTTCATAGTGAAAGAGCATGCAATCCGCCTGCTTGAGGCCCAGATCGCCACCGGCGGCATCATCGACCCCGTGCACAGTCACCGCATCCCCGTGGAGGTGGCCTACCAGTGCGGCTACTTTGACCAGGAGATGTGCCAGTTTCTTTCTAACCCCAAGAATCAAAGAAGAAGTTGCTTCGACCCCAACACACATGAGAACCTCACTTATACACAGCTCCTCCATCGCTGCATCCCTGATCCAGACACGGGGCTTCTCATGCTTCACATGATGGACAAGGGCTCAGTGCTCTACCAGCTGAACAAGGACGCCCGGAAAGCCCTGCAGGCCGCCCGCACCACCGTCAGCGTGGGTATCTTTGAGGGCCAGAGCGTCACCGTGTGGGAGCTCCTCTTCTCTCGCTACATCCCAGACCACAGGAGAGAGGAGCTCCTCAGGAAGTACAAGGCAGGGACAGTGACAATCCCAGAGATCATCACCATCCTCACCACAATCATCACCAGGGCAGAAATGGAAAACAGGGATCTGAGTTCTTCCACAGCAACACCCAGCAACAAGGTAGAAGAATCACAGCTGGCTCAGAACATGCACTCTCAGGAGCAACAGTTGAAAAAGTCCTTAAAGTCTGCAACCATCTATGTAACTGCTGGTGAGTTCAAGGGGAAACATGTCCCCTTGTTGGATCTGCTCTTTTCCAAATACATCCCTCAAGGGAAGCGACAGGAACTGCTGGAGCTGTATAGAGCAGGGATACTGACAACAGAGCAGGTGGTTACTGCGGTCAGCACCACCGTAAACAAAACAGAAGCGGCAAATACTGCACTCATGGCAAGTGCTAGAAGCCCACACAAGGAAGCAATAAGGGCACAGGAAAATGGAGATGTTTTTTCAACAGAAGATGCAGAACTCAATAACATCTTAAAGTCTACCACCATTGATGTGCCAGCTGGCGAGTTCCAGGGGAGGCAGGTTTCCGTGTGGGACCTGCTTCACTCCAGGTACATCCCTGAGGAGAAAAGGCAGGAGCTTCTGGAGTTGTACAGAAGCAAGGTATTAACCCTGGAGCAGATGATAACTGTTGTCACCACTGTCATTAGAAAAAAAGAATCTACCAGCAGGAAATTTCTAGTTGCTGTGAACACTTCCAGCAAGGACACAGGGACAGCCGCAGGAGACAAGGATGCTCATTCCCCCAAAGAAGAACCATGGGAAACAGCCTTGAAAACCACAACCGTCGACATGGAGGTAGGGGAGTTTCAGGGCCACAAGGTCTCGGTGTGGGACCTGCTCCACTCCAAGTACATCCCCGAGGAGAACAGAAAGGAGCTGCTGGAGCTGTACCAGGGAGGAGTGTTAACCCTTGAGCAGGTGAAAACCGTCGTCAGCACTATTGTAAGCAAGGCAGAAGCAGCAAGAGCAGAGCAGTCGGCTAATGTGAGTGGTCCAAAGGCAGGGAGAACGACAATCGCAGAAGCTGAGCACACCCATCTGCAGGAGGACGGGACCTGGGAAGAGACCCTGAGGTCTGCGACAGTTGAGATGGCAGCAGATGAGTTCCAGGGGAGGCAGGTTTCCGTGTGGGACCTGCTTCACTCCAGGTACATCCCTGAGGAGAAAAGGCAGGAGCTTCTGGAGTGGTATCGTGCGGGGACCCTCCCCATTCAGGAACTGGTCAGCACCATCAGCACCACTGCTGCACACAGCAAAGAAAAACACCTTGCTCCCCTTCCCCAGCAGATAGTGGATCTCCTCCAGACCGAGGGCTCCTACATTACTTTTGGCCAGTTCCAGGAGCAGAGGGTGTCGGTGTGGGAACTCCTCTCCACCAAGCAAGTCTCTGAGTACAAACGAGAGGCACACCTCGATACTTACGGCGCAGGGGGGCTGACTGTGAACAAGATCACCATCACCACCACTGTCATCACAGGCCCCCAGGGTGAGAAGAGCCACCATCAGCAGCACTAGCACTGTGCACGCCAGCAGAGGAGGGAGTTCTGCCTCCTCAGCAAGATACATCCTGGGCATTTGTAAATTTTGCTCTCCACGTCAAGAATTACAAG